TTTTATCAGAAGGACAGTTTGAGGTTTGAGGGCATAGCCCACACTCTTAGCTTACTTCATGTCTTGAGTCACTTAGACTTAACGAAAGAAAAACTGTAAGATGCTCAGCCCCACCATAGAAGGACTAGAAAGTGAGTCCAGATTCCTCTTTTGGACTTTCTTTTCTTTTGAGGCCCTCCTTCCATGGTGAGGAGAGGAAGGAAGGGTGTGTTGACTGCAGGCTACCAGACTAAGCTTCAGGTGCCAGTCTTACAAGTGCAGACTGGTCTGTCCTAAGAGTCTCCATGCCTCTCCTTCAGTAACCAAAATATCTATGCAAATCCAGGTTAGCTGCCTGCTGGCTGTGTGCATTTACTCTATTAACATTCCCAGAGTCAAAACTAATAGTAACAACAGTAACTGGTCAGGAAGTAATACCTAGGTGTTTGTGCAACCTATCCTGAAAACTACGTGTGTGTATTTAGAGACATTTCTGTTTGCCCTGAGTAGGCTGATTATAGTGCATAGCGTTGTAATCATATGCAGATTATTTAAAGTTGTTTTCTAATTTACAGAGGCAATGTAGTATGAAACCATTAAGTCTGACCTCCAAACCAAGTCACTTCTCTTTGGCTTGGAGAGTTTGCTCATCCTCCCCCATACCTTCTCTTTTCACAAACCTGGTTGTTAAGAGTAGTTGAGATTTTGGAGGTTAGGTGATTTTTTGAGTGACCTGGCTACTCTGTATTAATGTATTCAAAATGCCAATTTTTAATTTTTTTTTAATTTTTTTTTTAAGAAGTAAGGTTAAGGAAGCATTACAGATTTGCAAGAAAAACAATTTGATAGTGTTTGTATCAAATACACTTACCAGGATTTCCTTGTACTCCCTCTTTTAGAAAATAATTTTAATACCTCTCAATTAAATCTCGTATTTAAACAGCAGGGTGTTTTGGCAGAAGCCAACTGCCATGCACTAATGAACTCTTCTAATTTGCTAAATTATTTTAGCTGAATGACAGTACATTTAGCTTTTTAATGACACTACATTTAACTTCTGAACAACTTTGATCAAGTCCACTTTTAGACAGACTGCCTGCTGTGCTAAATTCTTTATTCCAAACCCCACTCAGTTATTCAGAAAAACTGTTAATCAGAAACATTAAATTATTTTCTCTCTTAGGAGCACAAAGTCTAATGGAGAGTACTTGGCCAATGCATCGCTATTCTTTTACCTGCTCTCAGTGCTAAGTCTCGATAAGTCTTTATGTTTGACAGTACTTCATGTAAAGACAACTGGAGAGCTTTGTTCTTTTAATTGGCAGATCCTTATTTTGCAATGTGTTATCTTTCTAAAGAACACCTATGTTTTTGGCCAGTTATATAAGCTGTCACAGTTAAAAAACCTGAGCTAAAATTTGGTTCATTTTTTCAGTTCCTGATTGGATTCTGTACATGCCTTGTGTAAAGTCAAAACATGAGACAAATTATTCCTGCTTCCTTTTGTGCTGTGAAGCCACACCATTTGTGGAGCCTGATAGAAAGAACTAATTTAAAGTATTCCTTTTCTCTTGTGGATCAGAGTACAACTGAGAAAATGAAGACTCCCACAGAGCTTTTCTTTTCAAAGGGAACATGCATTTCTATTCTTTCTGGCTACCCAGTCTCCTCTAGGAATTTGATATTTAATACCCAAGATATTTTGCTTCTTTGCAACACGTTTTATTTATACACATTTTACTTGTGCACGTCTGTGTCCAAACTGTATGCACTTACATATGCTATACAACCTCAGGTTTTGCCTAGGAATCAATTACCATCCATCTCAGGCTAGGAAATACCGAGAAGCAAGAGCCCAGCTTTTAAGGTCTTTGTGAAGCTATGATAACAATAACTAAGAAAAAAATCATTTTAGATTATAATTCTGCTAATATCTCTTCAATTTCTTCTGTATACAGATACCTCTTTTAATTACTTCTTAACACTCCTACAGCATGTAGTGCCATCAGAAATCTCCGTTGGTCATGAGCAGAGCTCTTCAAATTATCGTAATGCCTATTTGATGTAGTATATGATATTTACCTTTTATCATGTCTCTTCACTAGCAGGCACTTAGATATGCATGACAAATATTATAGGGAAAGAATTATGTTTAACTAACTCTGTTCTCACCAAGGAATACATAAAACTGAATCAAGACGCTTAGAGATTCTTCACACAGATTTAGCAAGAATCCCCATTTGTCTTTGCAAAAACCCGTAATGTACATTTATTTAAGTCTTTAAATTTTGTAAAACTTTTCAAACTTCACGGTGGGTTATATGATATGTATTGTATGTGATTATCTGTATCAGGAGAAGAAACATTCTAATTTAGCAACAATTTTAGTACTGTTTGAAGACAGGAATGATTAGCATCTTACTGAGACAGACTGTCCTCTTTCATTGTTTCTAAATTTTATAGGGAAATAGGTTTATAACTGAAGAAAGGGTGGTGACATGACAAACATTCAATGGAGGAGAGGCTATTTAGCCGAATTGGTTTTTTTGTTTGGCATTGAACTCCCAGTAGCTGGAGCTCTGACCTTCCCACTGTGTATGCACTGTGGTTAAAACCACACCTTGCAAAAGCACAGTATGCATGTGGAAATCCCATTAGAAAGCCACATGGAATCAACAGTTGGCTTCAAAGAACGTTACTGTCTATTCCAGTAAAATTTCAGCTTTTGTGGCACAACCCAACTGTTGAGTGAAATTACAGGACAAACCTGAAGCTTTTGAATAAGTCAGCTTTACAGTATCCTCCAAAAAAAGTGTCACCAATTTCTTGCATTTATTTGGACTTACATTCTGTAAAATAATTAAATGTACTGCCCTTAAATCAAAAAAAAAAAAAAAAAAAAAAAAAAAAAAAAAAAAAAAAAAAAAAAAAAAAAAAACAAGAAAAAAAAAAAAAAAACAA